CACCCACAGTGGGCTGGGCCCTCCCACATCACTCAACAATCAAGAAAATGCCCCACAGACATGGCCACAGGCCAGTACAATGGAGGCAATTTCCCAGTTGAAGCTCCCTCAACCCAGGTGTGTCAAGTTGACACTAAAACTATCCAGCACAGATGTCAAAGAGATCCTCCTGCCTCTGCCTCCCAAGTGCTAGGATCAAAGGTGTGTGCCACCACACCCAGTGAGTTTTTATTTAATCTGACTATAGTATTAAATCAATGTTCCAGTATTTTATTTTTTATTAAAAATATTTTATTTTTATTTTATGTATATAAGTGTGTCACCTGCATGTGTGTGAGTACAGCCACATTGTGTGACGCCATCAGAGGTCAGAAAGAGGCAGTGGATCCCCTGGAACTGGAGTTATGGATGGTTGTTAGATGCCACGTAGGGTGCTGGGAATTGAACCTGGGTCCTTTGCAAGAACAGGCAAACCTCTTAACCACTGAGCCATCTCTCCAGCCCCCCAAATAAATATTTTAAAGACTGATTTTTAAGCCGGGCATGGTGGTGCAGGCCTTTAATCCCAGCACCCGGGAGGCAGAGGCAGGCGGATCTCTGAGTTCCAGGCCAGCTGGGACCACAGGGAGACGCTGTCTCAAAAAGACCAAAAAACAACAAAATTAAAAAAAAAAAAAGCCAGCCCTACGTTGCTATGTGCATCTTTGCAACTACTTGAACTTTGCATAAAAATACTTCAGATATATCTTCCTAAAACAAGGGACTCTAGATAGGCTGACTAGACTCAGCAGATGGACTAAACTGGGGAACAGCTGGCAGCACCGACAACACAGTGGACAGCAACAGGGATGACAGAGTATAAGGGCTCCGGTGGGGGTGGGGGGGCTGTGGGAGGGTGCCATTTGGGATGCGGGTATAAAGATACGATTTTTGGGGATGTTCTGTATGAAATATACAAAAAGAAACAATGTAAAAAATTTTTAAATAAATAAGGCTTCAGGTATAAACTTTAAAACGTATGCAGTTGTCAAAAATCCTTTTCTGCGTGCGGATCGTGCAGGAAGGGGAGAGGGTGATACAGCCACAGCAGGGGGGATGTTCCTGCGGAGACATTTCCCTCCCCGCGCTGCTCATCTGCATCAGCCCAGACAAGGCAGGCGTCCTTTGAAGAAAAGACTTGTAAATGTTTAAAATAAATTTATTATTCTTTGCTGGAGACATCAAACTCTCAACGCTTCCCACAACAGCCCAAAGAATTACCTACCATGAACACTCTTCACACATATAAGCCAAACGAAGAAAAGCGGTGTTTTTTTTCAGTGGAGTCCCTGCCAGACTGCTTCCGGGTCGGAAATGCCACTCTCCAAACGAGCGTAGAGAAAAGAACTCCGCGCTAACGCCTCAAAAATAATGCTCGTACAGGGGAGCAACTCATTTGCTCGAAACAACGTAATTCTTTGCCAACTCTCCCCTTCCCTAACCGCTAAAGCCCCGGCAGCTGCAGCTAGCTCCCCCCAGCTCCCCCAGAGACCACTGCAAGCGTCACCGCGCTGGGTTTTCCCTGTTCGAAGCACACTGCTATCCAAGACAGCAGGGCTGACATTCTCCGGGAATAGTCACAGCCTGGGGATACAGGCACCGTCTGTTTTGGGTAGGGATGTCCTCAGGGAACAGAGCCAGGGGACACGGAGGAGGCATATACCCAGGACCCCACTACCCTTGTGGCCTCGCCCCCTGGAGTACAGAGATAGGTTTGCAGGTTATTGTGCAGGAACTCGCACCCCTCGCTTGCACGCGCCCTCTCCCTCTGCCACCGTTCCCATGCCAACCCTAAAGGAAAGCAGGTGCATCCCTGCCTCTCACACCCAAACACATCACTCAGCGCAGCCTGGTCCAGTAAGGTTCCCATCTGTCAGTGGGCCTTTACGGTGTTCAAAACCCTTTTATCGATATGTGGGTGGCTCTGAAAAGAGCCTTTGGTTTGGGGGCACCGGGGCCGCGCCTCACTTGGAGCTGGTGTACTTGGTGACGGCCTTGGTGCCCTCGGACACGGCGTGCTTGGCCAGCTCCCCCGGCAGCAGCAGGCGCACCGCCGTCTGCACCTCGCGGGACGTGATGGTCGAGCGCTTGTTGTAGTGCGCCAAGCGGGACGCCTCGCTGGCGATGCGCTCGAAGATGTCGTTGACGAACGAGTTCATGATGCCCATGGCCTTGGAGGAGATTCCCGTGTCGGGGTGCACCTGCTTCAGCACCTTGTACACGTAGATGGAGTAGCTCTCCTTGCGGCCGCGCTTGCGCTTCCTGCCGTCCTTCTTCTGCGCCTTGGTCACCGCTTTCTTGGAGCCCTTCTTGGGGGCCGGAGCCGCTTTGGAGGGATCAGGCATGGCGGCAGTTCTCTTCAGACAAACGCGCGCGCTCTGGGTACCTACTCTATTTGTACGCCCTGTATTCAAATAAAGGATCAGACGTCACTAGCTTTTGATTGAATAAAACTCCGCATTACGTCATCTTCGGGCAAGGTATACGCAAATTAGGAGATGCCAGCTTCTCTTTCTGATTGGCTACCGAAGTCACCCAATGGGAAGGCGCAGACTAGCTTCCCCACGGATTACATATAAGCGCTTGCTGGCGTCCACAGGCCCGTTATCGCCAGAGTTTCTCGTGAACGTCAGGTTCTCACGGCTGAGAGATGTCCGGACGCGGCAAGCAGGGCGGCAAGGCGCGCGCCAAGGCCAAGTCGCGCTCGTCCCGGGCCGGCCTGCAGTTCCCCGTGGGCCGCGTGCACCGGCTGCTGCGCAAGGGCAACTACTCGGAGCGGGTGGGCGCCGGCGCCCCGGTCTACCTGGCTGCGGTGCTGGAGTACCTGACGGCCGAGATCCTGGAGCTGGCGGGCAACGCGGCCCGCGACAACAAGAAGACGCGCATCATCCCGCGCCACCTGCAGCTCGCCATCCGCAACGACGAGGAGCTCAACAAGCTGCTGGGCCGCGTCACCATCGCGCAGGGCGGCGTCCTGCCCAACATTCAGGCTGTGCTGCTGCCCAAGAAGACCGAGAGCCACCACAAGGCCAAGGGCAAGTGAAGCCCTGCTGGGCCTCTCGTGCCTCCACGGACACCAAAGGCTCTTTTCAGAGCCACCCACTCCCTCACAGAAAGCCTGCTGTACACGAACCTGCTGCCGGGTAGTGGTGGTTGGATCTCCTGACCACTGCCTGGATGCGCACGCGCATCCGCGAGGCGGGGGAGGGGAGGTCCTCGTTGCCAGGTTTCTAGGCTTTTGCACCTTCGGTCCTCGTCGTTCCTTAAATGCAATATTAAACATTTGGTTTCAGAAAGGTTCCTGTTTGGACACTAAGGATGCGTTTGAGGGACAGCCTTGGCTCCTCCGGGGTGGCCCTGTGCGAATTCGCAGTGTAAGTGGGTAAATCCTGGCATTTCTATTAACGAGATAGTTGAAATGCTCAAGTTCTAACAAAGCACACCTGTGTTACGGTGTAGCCGTGTTGGGGTTTCTAAAAGTTCCTTTAATGGAGGGGGAAGGGGTTCATCGCTTAAATTTGAGACCTGAAGTGTGTAAACAATTTAAAAAGATTTGTGAATGATACAAGTTTCCGGTGTCGTTTTTTTGGGGGGGGGGGCTGGAGATGGGGACATCTCTAGGCTGGGCTCACCTCGGACCTGCTTACGCTCACCAAGTGCTGGGATTTTACAGAGGCCAGCATGCTCCTGCAGAAATTAAATTTAGTCAATCAGACCCACTTAAGTTGCTTACCTTGGATAACAAAATAATTTGTACTTAGTTGGTAAAACTAGCCATGAGAGTTTAGCAAACTTGAAAATTTGTCCATTGTAATAAAGTTTTAGTAGACATGGTAGCATATTAAACTATATATGTTAATTAATAGAATTGTGACCTCATGCTGTTAGAAAGAATGGAGAGCTCCAGGCAAAATCAGCAGAAATGGCCTCCTCAGTAGCAACTACCTCATGGGAGGGATGGTTGGGGGTTAAACGTTGTCTCATAATTCTTTGAAACACTACAGAATGAACACAGTGTCACTCTTTTTTTCAATAAAGGCCAGAATGAACACAGTGTCACTCTCTTTTACTATTAAGTTTCAATGAAGGCCAGCAAGACAATTCAGAAAATTATATAACATAATTTCATGTATATTTACCTTCCTAATAGTCTGTTTATAGTATATTTACCCTCCTAATAGTCTATTCAAACCAGGGCTCCCCAGACACCATCCAGAACTAACCACAGATCTGTTTCTTTACAGAATACCTGGGGTCTTAAGCTACTTGCATAAATAAGCAACTTTTAACTGTGGGTCTCAACCACACAGTATTAACGGAAATTACAGATAGATCATACAGTTTACAAATGGGCAGTTTCAATAAAACAGCCCAAGGACTGGCATGCTCCGGGGACCTGTTCCTTCGTTTTTCGTGAGACTCTTCAATTCAAGCTGTAGTTCGTGTGTATTCTTTGCTCTATATAGGTGCTCAATAAATTTCCTGAAACTCTTGAGTGGCAGTTAAGAAGCTGAGGGACTGGGTGATGTTTCAGGAACCACGATGGCTTCCACATGTAGAACGGTGTTAAGGAGGCAATGTTGAGAGAGGCAGACGCAGGATAGCTTCTTGGTTTTTACCTCTAGGCTGCTGTGAATGCAAAACAACAGCCACAAGGAATATTTACTTTTCCATTAAATAAAATGTAATACATAGATGTAGCTTGTCAACTGCCCAGGCCTTATGTGGCCAGTGGATAACTGCAGAACACAGATACAGACTCTGTTCATCAGAATGCTAGAGAGAGTCCCACCTGGAAAACTCTACTCAAGTCTGGTCATCTAGTGGGTTGTCTAAAGTACCAGTAGCTGCTGCCCTGAGAATGTTCCTTGGACTGAGGCACCACATAGCCTAGCAATTCCATGCCTAGATAGATGCCCAGGAGAACCAGCGTCCAACAGAAGTTACAGATACTCTAAAAGGTGGAGGCAGCCCATTGGCTAATGAATGAATCCACAAACTGATCTGTCCTCACAATGGAATATTATTCAGTAAAAGGGAAGGAAACCCTGATTCATGCCACAGCATGAGTGAACTTCACAACGTGAAGAGGGGTAAATTAGCCATAACCTGTGACTTCATTTCTATGAAGTGTCTGGAATCAGCTTCGTTAGAGCCAGCATATTCAGGAGTTGAAAGCAGAGAGTAGGAATGTCCTATGCGGTCATGAGAGCCGGTGGAAGTGATGGTCGCACCGCACAGTGAATGTGCTAAGTGCCTCCACATCCATCCACATTAAAATGGTTCACCATGTCCTGAGAATTCCACCTCAATTAAAACAAACTCAGTGTATTCCATACAGTAGGACAGAGAGGCTGGGGCGATACCTCAATGGGTAAAAAGCTTGCTGTGCAAACATGAAGGCCTGAGTTTCATTCCAAGAACCCATGTAAAGCCAGGCCAGGCAGCACATCTTAATTCCAGCACTTCCTAAGACGATGAGAGAGGAGAAGCTATCGGGTCAGCTAAACTGGCATATGTGGCTTCCAAGAAAGAAACCCTATCTTAGGGCGGAAGTCAAGGAATGATATCTGATGGTCCTCCCCTTCACATACACACACACACACACACACACACACACACACACACACACAAAGTGGACCAGGAGAAATTTTTTTTAAATGGGACCAATGAAACCTAGAAGGGGTGGGATGGGGGAGAACAGATCTGGAAGGAGGGCGGTACATTCCAGTGCTTTCTTGGGTATTACTGGCCCACCTCTTGTAAAAAGAGATGGAGCTGGGGTACCACAGCACCATCATCAGAGACCATAGAGGAAGACGGATGTGGACTCACTCCTGGTACTACACAGCCACTCTGGACAGGCTTTGGCAGCACATCTTGCTAGGCTCAGCTCACCTGCAAGTCTCATGGGAGCATGGAGACCCTGCCCTGGCCCACTGTGTGCAAACATGCCTACATCAGAATTATCTCAGCCACTCCACATGTCCCCATTCACAGATGTTCTGTTGAAGACAAGAAAGGGAGGTACAGGGTTCCAGAGTAAAGCAGCTGGAGCCAGTGTCTGGTACCCTCCCCCTAGCGTTGCTGCAGACTCCGCTCCTCTCCTGGGTGTGTGTCTTTCCTCCAGCCTCTACTTCCCACATTTAGTTTCCTTTGCTGGGTCATTTATGGCAGGCTCACCCACATGTTCAGTAATCTCCCACCTCAGAAAATTAAAAGTAGAAGAGCAGATGATCCAGCTCTTCTATTCCTGGGTCTCTCTCCAGAGGAAATGAAGTCAGTAGATGGAAGAGACATCTGTGCTAAGATGCTCACTGTGGTACTGGCTACATGGGTGATCATCATCAGGTCTCTTTTCATCCATGGAGGATTGGTTCCAGGGCCCCCATGCAGGTACCAAAACCCACAGGTGCCCGTGATCCTTACATAAAACGTCATAGTATCTGCTGACAACCTCCAAATGTCTTCAGAGAACTTTGAATCATGCCAGGATGATGCTTCATACATAATGCAATGTGAGTGCAGCTAAATAGTTGAATGTATTGATCAAGAAATCATGACCGTAAAGCTCTGTGTATGTTCAGTACAGACCAATTTTTCAGAAGAGGGAAGCTGCTGGAAGGTTAGCAGATGTCAGCTAGAGGGCCATGGGTAGTCAGCTGGAAGTTTAGGGGAGGTCAGCAGGGGTCAGCTGGAGAGTCATTCAATAGTAGATCAATGTGTTGAGTTCAAGGACCCATGGTGCCCCATCTGGATTTCCCATACTGTCCTTCAAGTCACACTCTGTCCTTCAAGTCATAGTGCCATGCCAACTGGATTCAGGCTGTGTAGACAGCTCCTGCTCCCTAATGTTTGCAAGACTGTGGGATCCCAGGAGGAAGGGATCCCAGGCCTCCTTGCTGCTCACCACAGGTCTGGCTGCTCCCCATGAGGTCCCCTCTTCCCTTGCAGTATCACCCAAACCATGGCTTTCATAAGCCCATACCTTTTCCAGAGCTGCATGTTTACAGGCTGCCTGATGTCCCCTGTGAGAGGCAGCCCACCTTCAACTGGCATCAGTATCTTGTGATGGTTTCCACTCCCCACACCCACATACTCCCCCTCCTCACCCTGTAAACAGTTCCATCCACCCACTGGTTATTCAGTTCAGTAAAACAAACAAAAATGCCTGATTTAGTATGCTTGGATTGCTATAACAAAAATACGAACCCAGAGGTGTGATAAATAGCTCAATTAAATTAAGAGGCAGCCCACAGAATGGGGATTTGCAGACCATACACCTAATCAGAAATTAATAGCCAAAGTATCAGACTCCAAAGCTGAACACCAAACAACTTGAATGTAAAAGGGGCGAAAGGACCCCGACAGGCATTTCTCTAAAGACACATAAATGGTCTTTGACAAGGTGCTCAACATCACTGACCAATCCAAACCACAGTGAGGGATCACCCCTGCCTGCCCACCCTGTTAGGGTGACTGCCATCACCCTTCACATATCCCCGGCTCTTCCTTCACGTTTCTGCACCTGCTTCAGTTTCCACCATCCCACATCACCTTCTAAGGGGTATTTACTAAGTCCTGGAATGCTGTGACCATGTCACCACCTCTCAGTTATCCTCCCCTCCCGGACATCAGAAGGGGCAGAGAGGCACATTTATGTTCACCTTCACTACCAGGGTTAGAGTCCCAGGGCTGGGAGGGCCGCTCTGGCCCTTAGTTGGGCTCCCCACCCACATCCTCCACGCGCATCCAACCCTCACTAAGAGCTACACTCGGATCTGGTCTGTTCCCACAAAGGCCACAGGCAAGACTCGGGCTCTGACTCGGGCTCTGATTAGAAGATTGACAGAAAAGGCCCCAGAATGAAGCTCTTTCCCAGATTCTGAGATGCTGCTCTGCCTCTGCTTCCGCAGAGAGGCCTTGCTGGAATGGAGAAGTTTGGGTTTGAGGGTACCGTGCCGGTGGGTGCAGCGCACAGCAGGGGGCCAGGGCGCGTCACGGTTGCACGCGCTTGGTGAGCGTGTGGGCGGGTATCTGGGCTCGGAGCGCCCTGGCGCAGGTCGTGGGGAGCCGTGGGACTCGAGATCCGGGATGCCGGGGTACCTAGTGGGGGGGGGGGTCGGATGCTGGGAAGCAGGAGCAGTCCCCGGCGGCTTCTAGAGCACCATGCGCTTGGCGGGCTCAGGCGCTCAGCGCGGTGACCCACACCGGAGCGCGCAAAACCCTGCGGTTCTGCCCTTGCTTGAGGTCGATTCTCTATTGCTCAGTTCCAAAGTTCCGCTGGTCTCGAGGTGTCCCACGGCTTCCCCCACTTTGTGTCGCTGATGTCCCGTAGTGTCTTGTATTGACAGAGGCGACGGAAGCGCTTGGGTCTTCCTGAAAGGGAAGCCCTTTTCCGGCGTCCCAGGTCCACAAGCCCGCGCTAGAGAGTAGGGGGCGCCCCATGGACGATCCCAACCCCTCCCTCTTTCTCCCACAGCAACATATTCTAAGTAACCATTATTATTGTTTGGTGCCCTGATCGTCACCTTGTGGCCTGCGGGGGACGCTGGGGAGTTCA